CATTACGGCTCGCCCCAGCAACATCCTCAATTCCCCCAACAACATCGTGGTACACCAAGTGCAAGCTACTCTCAGCCTATGATGCAACAGCATTCGACAGGGCCCCAGGTCCCACCGGCTGGCCCCGCTAACCATGGTCCGGAAGCTGTCAATGAAGCCAAATGAAAGTCTCCAAGATGAAGCTTCGCATCTTAACTCTAGCGACATTTCCCGAAAGTTGCCGCTTGAGCTCCACGAGATGCTTCCCACACTTGTTTTACTTAATTTTGCTATGCGATTAGCGTGGGTGGGTCGATATTCTCTCTAATGAGTGGCTTGACGCATAGCGACCGGCGTTGACAGGGCATGGAGGGTGCACAAAAGGATTACGGTGTGGGCAATGGCTTTGCTGGCTATGGATGTGCGGGGTGGGACAGGAAATAGTGCGTGGGAAACTACCATAGTTCGCTATCTTGAACACGATCGCAAAGCACTATGGGAGAATCGAGAGGAATGCTTTGGCTTTTCCGACTACGAGGGAGGGAGATGATCGAACAACGAAGTGGAGGGGGGAAGGGGTGGTGTGATGGTGGTGGTAGCTAGCAGAGCATGTTTTCTCCAAGACATGGTATCCAATCAGCACAACAATGCAACTAGCTTCAGTGTTAATCCATCAGCTTTCCTTTCAAGGAAGTCCACCTGATCTAAACGCAGATATGCAAGTGACAAGGATCAATCAGCAGGTACACGGACCCACCCTCTTAGCGTGCATCCAGGGTCCACACTCCCGCCGTTGTTCCGACACTACCCCAGACGGCGGACGGCATCTGCTCGCCAGAATTACCGTTCCTTATACTCACTACTTCATGTCGCTCTGTACTGCATGCCGGTTCCTCATGAAGACTTCGAACTGAGCAGCATGACCGATACCGCCGCCGAACCACTGATCCCCAGTTCCCGACACGACTTCCCTCCCGATACGCGCAACCCGTACACCACCGACAACGATGACGACACCGAGATACACGACGACCACGACGACGAAGTCGACGAGAGCGCCCTAGTTTCCCCGAGTCTCTTCATCTGGATCCTAACCATATGCGCCGGCGTCAGCGGTCTATTATTCGGCTACGAGTACGCTTTTTTTTCTTGCTTACAATTATCTCTCTCTACCTTACCTTTCTTATTACACTTCCGAACACCAAGTCTAACATTTGTGTATAAAGTACCGGCGTCATTTCTTCGACCCTCGTTTCCATCGGTACCGATCTCTCCTCCCGATCGCTCACTACCCTCGATAAAAGTCTTATAACGTCGTGTACGTCGTTTTTTGCGCTGCTGGCCTCGCCGCTTACGGGCGTGCTGGCGGATTCGTACGGACGCCGGACGGTGATTTTCGTGGCGGACGTGCTTTTTGTACTTGGTGCGCTATGTCAGGCCTGGACGAGCAGTGTGGGCGGGATGATTCTGGGCAGGTCGATTGTAGGGGCTGCGGTAGGGAGCGCGTCGTTTGTTGTGCCGCTGTATATTTCAGAGCTGAGTCCGAGTCCGTTTCGGGGCAGGTTGGTGGTTGTGAGTAGTTTGTTTGTGACGGGCGGGCAGGTTGTGGCGTATGTTGTTGGGTGGCTGTTTTCGCAGCGGGTGCATGGGTGGAGATGGATGGTTGGGTTGGGAGCGTTGCCCGCAGCGGTGCAGTTTGTCATGTTGTTCTTTTTGCCGGAGACGCCAAGGTATTTGGTTAAGGCTGGGAGGGTGCAGCAGGCGAGGGCGGTGCTGGGAAGGGTGTATAAGAGTGAGGAGGGTGGAGCTAAGTTGGTGGGCGCTGTGCTAAGGCGAGTGGAGAGGGAAATTGAAGAAGAGGAAGATGCGGCTGGTTTACGGGGTATGCCCGAGTCTGCAAAGTCTGGCTGGAGAGCAAAAGTAGAAAGAGCGCAAGACAACCTATCTCAACTGATTGTCATTGGAGGAAACCGAAGGGCATTGATAATCGCTTGCATGCTCCAAGGCTTCCAACAACTATGCGGTTTCGTAAGTAATCCCTACTATCCTCAAGCTCCTCCCCAATATACTAACCACGCCCACCCCAGAACTCCCTCATGTACTTCTCCGCCACAATCTTCCGCATGGTAGGCTTCTCCTCCCCAACCCTAACCTCGCTCTCCATCGCCCTCACAAACTTCCTCTTCACCCTCGTCGCCTTCCACTTCATCGACCGCATCGGCCGCCGCCGCATCCTCCTCTACTCCATCGCAATCATGATCCTCGGCCTCATCCTCTGCGCCATAGCATTCATCTACGTCGACCTGCCCGCTGCCGCCGAAGAAGAAACAGTTTTCAACACCGATGCAAACACCAAAACGTGGCCTCTTATTATTCTTGTATCCATGATTACATATGTAGCTGGTTACGCGATTGGTATGGGCAACGTTCCCTGGCAGCAATCCGAACTTTTTCCCCTATCAGTTCGTTCGCTGGGATCGGGCATTTCGACGGCCACGAATTGGGGCTCGAATACCCTGGTTGGTCTTACGTTTTTGCCCATGTTGCATCTTTTTAGTCCTGCGGGCACGTTTGCGGTGTATGCGGTTGTGTGCGGGGTTGCGTGGGGCACGGTCTGGAGGATCTATCCTGAGACGGCGGGGTTGGGGCTTGAGGATGTGGGAGGGTTGTTAAGGGAAGGGTTTGGAGTCAGGGAGAGTGTGAGGGGGTTTGAGGAGCGGAAGAGAGAACGGGAGAGGGGGCGGTGATATAGACGAGGTGTTTTAGATGACATAGAATCAAGAATGTTCAAGCAGTAATTCTGACGGCATGTTTTTTTGTAACAACCCAAGTGCTCGCCGATTCACCACAGTGCCCTCCTGACCCAAAACCTCATCCCAAAAACAAATCCAATACCCTTGCATACTTTTCTGGAAACTGATACAAATGCCCATGGCCTGAATCTTTAAAAATAGACAACTCGGCCTTCTTCATCCTCTGCTGCATAAGCCAGCTATTCGGCGTCGGCGTCATAACATCCGTCTTCCCATTCGTGACCAACACCTCCTTGTCCAACTGCTCCATCCGCTGAAAAAACGCTGCATCACTCACAAATGCTGCGATGGCCGCATTCTGCACTTGTGTCCCGGCTTCATCCACGAACGTCGTGCGTTGCTCGCCGTCGACATGGCGCTCGGGTAGCCGGTGCCACCAAGCTTCACCCAGCGCACGACTGGTTTCAGAGGGGTAGAAGAAGAGATCGAGCATGGTATCTAGCGTTGGGTTCGGCTGGCTCGCCTTAATCATGATGTTGGGGTCTGGCGCTACGAATCCAGTTGTATACGCCGATTGCGTCCCAGCCAGCACGAGTTTCCGGACTAGATGCGGGTACTCTAGTGTGAGAACTTGAGCGGTGAAGCCTCCCATGGAGAAACCTAGGACGTCTACTTTGGGCACGTTGATGGCGGAGAGGAAATCAGCGATTGTGGCGGCAGCACCGCCGATGGTGGGTTGGATGGTGCCGGAACTGTGGCCGCATCCGGCGTTGTCGAGGAGGATTAGGGAGCGCGTGGTGGCGATGCTGTTGAGGAGGAGGGGATCGATTAGGTCCATTGTCCCGCGGAAGTGGGTTATCCAGAGTAGAGGGAAGGGGGACGGTGCGCCGAAGCGGCGGTAGGCAAGAGTTGTGTCTTTGACATCTATGTAGTGGGTTGGGACTGTCTGAGCGGACATTGTTGGGGATCTGGGATAGGTATCGAGGGTAGTGGGGATAAAATGTTGTAGAGTTTTGTAGTCGTTGGCTTGTCTTTTTCGAACAATGAATACTTGTTCTTATGTGTAGTATTGCGGTGGTGATTATTGATCATCGTAGCTTACAAAAACTGACTGCGCATGATACTCTTACACAGAAGTGAGCTAGTGCTTGCCGAGTTTCTTCCCAAAGTAGTGTACTTGGATGCATGGGCTTCGGTTGTTGAGTAAACATTCGAGAGAACACTTGATTTGCGCCTTTTCGAGGTAACAAGGGTTCTAGCTCATATAATCAGTCTTGGTCCATTCATTTGTTCCTAGCGCTTCCTTGATTACTCTTTCGAATGCAGCCAAGAGACTTGAGTGCTTAGTAAACTGCCCGAAATGGCGGTTTATTGTTTGGATTTCGAATACCGTGCAAGGTAAGTAGTCACTCTGTGTAGACAGGAGGACTTTGCACAAAAAATAGAACACTTCCACCTTAACCATGCCTTGTCATTGCCATCACACTAGGACTACATCTTTTCTCGGAAACGAAGTCCAGTAACATCGTCGTTCGCTAGGAATATCGCCGTCTTTGAGGAGGCAGAACCCCACAAACTTAAACGCATCTTTGAAACCATCATATAAAGTTGGTCGCAACACTAGTTTGAGGTCCCTTATGTACTCCCATCCCGTCATGGCCCGTTTTGCGGAACAGCGAAATACCACATCCCCAACCTCAATATCTGCGGGTGTGACTCCCAATGTCCCATAGGAAAAGCCAAAATTGCCATCTGTGCGCATTGTTCGAAAAACTTGGCTCTGCGCCAAGACGCTGTTCACGATACGCGATAGGTTATTGGGCCAGTGATGAGTTGATGGATGGTACGGTTCTTTCAGCCAGTTTATTCGGGTAGATTGAAACAACTGTGAAGTTTTCTCATCTAGCAAGGCCCACCAGAAGGGTTCCAAGTCATCCGCGTAAAGGTCCTTCTGATTGATGATGTTAGCTGCCAGTAAAATAAGACATGCTAGATTCTCTCTCAGTCGCTTTCGAATCTGCCATCCTCGTTCTCTGTCCACAGAGTCTTGTTGCCACCCAACGTCGGTAACAATATTGGCGGGATGTGACTGGCTTTGGGGTGATATATCTCAAACTTGGATGACAGACCCATAGAGCCAACCAGATAGTTGAAGGCAACAACCATTCGGTGAATCTATAAGTATTCCACCATCGATCTCCGTATAGAACAAACGTGGCTGAATGAAAATGTTTACTTATCTCCAGTCTGGCACCCACGACGGGGCCGTCAGCTCATGTTCGCGAATAGATCCGAAAATCCGGAGATGGTACCAGAACTCGCTCGGCTGCAATTGTATCATGTTTTCCGCCAGGCACTTGTACGTCTCTACCCAGCTTTTGGTGTAATCCACTTTCGGGAGTATCTGGGGGGGGCATCGATGAGTCTCTCCGATCATATATCCCTACCGCCGGTTCTGAGCCACTGTAGTTGTGATCCAGTATACCGTACAGAGCGAATAATCGATCTCTCGCTACATTCTGCAGAAACATGCTCCAGTAGGGAGTCTGGGAGCCATAACTCACGTTTCAACGAAGTCTCAATAGTCTTCTTGGCGACTTTGTAAGACTGGTAACTGGCCCATCCACCTTGAGTCTTGTGTTGCTCATCTAATTCCGGTAGAAGCAAGGTCCCCTTTGCGAACCAATTCCACGAGATCTTGTCATATCCGTAATGAACTGTGATTTCATGAGCAAGGGAAATTTCTTGCAGGACCCAACGCCGCGTAAACCAAGGGCTGAGAAACAATTGTTGTAAGGTCGACTGCGTAGCCGCACAGTCTTTACGAAACTGATTTGGGAGAGATATAGTTTCTTTCTCTAGCTCATCGACAACGGCGATCCTCTTCAAGTGTGTAAAAACTGCCTGTGCATCGAATGTTCCCCCAGCGCCGAGCCAGGCATGGACTTTCAAGGTAGCTGTGTAAATGCTGCGCGTTAGGGGCACTTGAAGCGTCTTCTCTTGCGCGTCGGCTTGGTTGATACATACAGCGTCGATCCAAAGACGGCGCTCTTTGTGAGGTTTTCATAAATGGCGTAGCAGGGAGTCGACGTTTGCGGTAATAGCGATTGAAGGTATGCGTCCATGGCTGAAGTTCTTGAAGTGGATAGTGTGAGTAAACCTGGGTTCGCCCCAACAGTATGATACAGCATCGAACCCTTGAGAAGAACTTGTGGTATCATGGGATAATTCTTCGCTGTTGTACTAAAAGTGGGCTTCGAGTGGTGCCTGGAAGTCGATTGCGGGGTACAGTATCCGAATGCGGATTGCCTCTCTCGTCGGGAGTCCCTCATAAACATGATTCGGTAGTGGGTCCATTTTATTTCGGGAGCGTTCCCGACATGCGTGACTTGGGTTCTCCAGTAGAGATACTGCCGAGGTATGCGGCTAGACGGTAGCAGCCGTTGCTTACCCCGGATGTTGTAGCGTAAATGCATGAGTTGTAAACGCGGGGAGCTCGCACCCAGGCTATGCGATTCCTGTGAGCTATTTGACTGGTGCATCTCTCATAAAAGCTTAGTGTTAATTCACTGCTTCTGATAAGTACAATTATCTAGTGGTCATACATCACTTTGGCCGAAGTAGGCCAAGGTAAATTGCAGTTATTATGGCTTTGCGCCTTGCGAAATTACAAGCCGCAACATGTGTTAGTCAAAGACTCGACAAAAGCCACTTTCTGAAGTAAGGCCGCGCGTATATGTGATCGAAGTTATCTTACCGAGCGATGTTCTCAAGTAGTCAACCGTCCGTCTCGGCCAATCACATCGCATGCTGCCGCGCTCAGCCACCCTTAACCCTGCCACTTTTGTAAGCTCCTATTATTGTCGTTGGCTGAGCGGGTGACGCGATCATCCATGCGCCTGTTTCGCCGTACGCCGGCGGTATTATCGCACAACTGTCAAATCAAGCTCAGCCGAGCGTTTCTGCTAATCAAATAAGCAAAGCCGTTCCTATGGATCGTGCGGAATGAGCACTCTGCCTGACGGTCCAATGAGGCTCAGGCGCGCGTAATGCTCTTGATTGCAGCGTGGCTCATACCGCCATGACTGCATGCGCAAGTCCAACTGACGTCTGTACTTATAAGTTGGGACAATCGCCATTGTAAGCAGTCGCATCATTACAAATCCTTTTACCATGACAACATTACAAAACTCAGTAGCCTGGACAATGCCGAACAACCAAGTCACAGCAAAGGACGTTGATGTAGTCCAAGGCAGAATATTTTGGTTACCAGCAGAGGGGGACTTGCCAAGGCAGGCGGTGAAGAGAGCACGTGGCGCAGGCGTTGTCGAGGGCATCTATGGGCATCCAGTTGTTGTGGTTTCGAGGCCTGCAGAAGATAGCCACATAGCTCATTTCCAAGTTGTGAGTAACATGTTTATTGTAATTCGTAGATGCCGCTAACATGCCCAAGATCTCCTCACGGCACCGAAGAACACTTGGCGACCTATACAACAAGTCAAACGAATTCCATATCACCCTACACACCTCATATCTACCGATAGCGCCATCGCCAGATCATTCACACGGAAGTCTGAGAAAGACTATGAAGCGATCTTCAACTCTGCAATTAGCCAACGGCGCTCGACTGCAATTGGATTCACATGTAAATATCCGAAACGTTTACAAAATCGACTGGTCGCTCTTGAAAGAGTATACAAATCCAGAGACCCCGGACGTCAAACAATTTTACTTCGATCGTGAGTCGACAACACGGCTGTTGGCCAAATCCGCCATCCTCACCACATACGAACCGGGTGCGCAGCATCAAACACTTTCCTCGCAAACTCTGGAGAGCACATGTTTGAGTTCTGATGTTTCAGATATGATGCCTGCGCTGCAAAGATCGATCTCGGAGCCCACATGGGTATTAGCAGATGATGTTCGAACAGTCAGTGGTCGAAGGTACTCAGAGTCGGACATTTGTTCTGCAAAATCATTTAGATACTCAGGGGCTTGCAACTCTTCGTCGAGCCTTCAATCACGAGTCGATGAGCATGAATTTCTAAGCAGTTCTATGTCAGAAACCCAAAAAGATACAGTGGGTGAAACGGCGACACATGGTCCATCGATATGGAACATGAAGCACCCATTGGATTGCTTGTGGAGACACGTCACTGATGGTTTTAAAAGCACTACCATAACACGAAGCCATCTCAAGAGACGCGAGAAGAGCCAGTTGTGGGTGAATGCGAAGGGTGTAGTGGCAGTAATAATAGCTTCAATATAGGAATCAAACAATATTTATAATCAACAACTCTTTGTGATCATCCGGTGTGTTTTCCATAAGCGTCGATCCATTTGAGAGCATTAGAAGCGGTGTGGGCCTCGTCTTGTGGTCTTTCGTCGTTTGTCAAGTTTTGAACATAATCTTGAAGATGCTGATATGTTACCGAGTGTCCCGCGCTGGACATGTCTTGTGCGAGAGCTGTGCGAATGAAAACCCATAGTGACTCGTTCTCGATGCCGAACTTAATGGCGTAATCTAGCACATCTCTCACCAGCTCTTCCCTCAGTGATGGCGCCAGTCGAGGCATCAAGTACAAAAGAAAAGACCAACCAGATATGTCGCTTGGATGTCTAGTACACCATTTTTTGACGATTCGGACAAACTGGTCATCCGCTCCGAAACCATGGGCTTTTTGCACCAACCTACGAGCATACTGCCAAGCATGATAATTCTTAGGATGTTGCTCCCCAGATTTGCACACAGCCTCGAGCTCGTTGTTCCAAAAGACCGCCTTCTGATCATCCAATGTTTCTGTCAGACCGACTGTTATAAGAGAGTCTACAATATGCGAGCGGTGATACCATAGAGTTGGTGACTTTGACTGACGATGCAGTGGAGATGTGAGGACGCTATCCAGAAAATAAAGCTCTCGTTGTAGAGCTTTATGAAATATGTTCCCAGCGTGAAGTCCGTGTTCAGCTTCTAGTTGGGAAAGCACGCGCTTACGGTAGTTTGCAGCAGTGAGATGTTCCGGGTCAAAAAGAAGCATAATCTCTGTCGTCTGCATTGTCTGATTTATTGTGGCAGGATCATTGCTCTCTCTGTTCCCGAAGAATAGTCCACGTGCTTCCATGTAAGCCAAGGTAAGTGCTTTCTTTGATATTCCAAGTGATGATCCTTCTTGTATCAAGACACCGTCTGGTGGCTGCACAGACGGAGGGAGAATTGTAATTTCAACGACTTCGTGGTCATGCTCTTGGAAGTACTCGGTCAATGATGTATAAGCCAGTTTTTGTAACTGAGATCTTTTGGAAACGTCTGAATCCATCATGTAGGGCTTGAACACATTGAGTCGTCTGGTCAAATTTGGTGCTGACTGAAACTGAAATTGAGCTGTCGAGCTAAGGAAGTAGAAAGAGTCGACAGGCAAGTGCAGGAAGCATGGCTACGCACGGTCCACTGCTCTAGCCTGTCACTACTAAATTCCACCGTATGACATAACGGCTTTTCGCTCATCTGGACACAACACCATGCGATGAGAGCACCCCGCATAACGATTCCTCTCCACCGCCTCCAACCATGCCGTCGCTTCTTCTGGTAGTCTTTATTCTCCAGTTGCTGCTTCATGTCATCAATACGGTTGGCAAAAACACCGTCAACGAGCTGGTAAGCCCCGCCTTGGATTGCAAACACGGGAGGACCCGGTGCTGACAAGGCTCCAGCTATGGATACTTTACAATAAGCTACCGACGCCCAGTTCGGGCTCTGCAAAGCGGTGTCAGATTCTGAAGAAGGAGATTGTTCAGCTGAAGCGCGAGTTGGGGAACACGTCGCCTCAGGACAACTTCTCCAAATGGGCAAAACTTGACAGACAGCACAACAAGGCCATGGCCGAGTATCAGAAACTGGGTACGTTGCAGTTGGCTCGGCAGCATTTGTCTGTCCAAGTCGCGTGTGCTTACTGACGTGCCTTGCTCTAGATGGCTCCTTGCGCTCGCATCACTCGACTTTCACGTCTGCCGTCTCGACCCTTCGCTGGCTCGGAACGCAGGGCCTCCGCTTCGTCCTACAATTCTGGTTCGCGAAATCGCCCATGTTCTGGATACCGGCGGGCTGGGTGCCGTACTACGTGGAATGGATACTCAGTTTCCCGCGCGCGCCGTTAGGCAGTGTGAGCATAAACGTATGGGGTATTGCATGCGCAAGTATGATTGCTCTTGTTGCCGAGGCAGTTGCGGCAGCATGGGTACTCATCATGCACAAGCCGACACCTGTGGCTGCAGAGAAGCAGCGCCAGAAGCAAGAGGCCATGGCATTCAGCGCCAATCAGAAACCTGCAGAAAAGAAGGAACTATAGTAGTTTTTTGCCTTTGCGCTTGGCGTATGCCGGTGCAGATGCCACGTTTCTGGCGGTATTCTACAAATACAAGTATTGAAATCAATAATGTCTCCCATCAAAAGACGCAAAGTCGTCCTGGCTTTCGCTCTGACACTGCAACACGAGTGGGATGATCTTGGCAGATCGTTTGGCTTCTTCTAGGCTACAAATTGAACCCGTGATCGTGGAGGAGTAGCGAATCACCGAGTCTTCGAAAGAGCCAATGTCAAATATCAACAACAAATGTGCACGCAAGAAGTAATGACTGGCGACGCTGTACAGAGCAGTTGAACATGAAGCTGCGCAATTGTACAGTAAGCTCGCGCTTATGTCGAGAGTTCTGGGTGAGATGTTTTGGTAGTTGGTTGCGGCGAAGAATCGGAGGAAGAAAAGTTGAGAACTAAGCGGCGCTAAGGCATCGCGGACCGACAATGATCCGCGACCCGCTTTCCGTCTCCTGCTTGCTCCGCGGCGATGACCTTGTCAACTCATAGCACGCTTCACAATTGCAGATGTACTTACGCTCTCTCAACTAAACACTTACACTGGACATCTCGCCTGTTCTTGCAATTGCTCAGGTCATGATTCGTGTTCTTTTTCTCTTACACTTGAGATGTTGAAGTGTGCCCAGCCCGTATTGGTCTGGAACGCATACGGCACTGACGACACGACTAAGCCTTGCGCTTATTATGACTAAGTTCCAGTGGGCGTTGAAGAATCCGATTCAGCACCGACCCGGACCATTCTTCCTGAGGTTGTGTCAGCTGTGAACCCCAACAGAGGGCGTTTTTTTTCTGGGGCATTGACTAGCCGGATACGGTAGCCTTAGGCAAAGTTGCCGGTGCGAAGCCCTTGATCGCCGTTCAAGCGAGCATTCTCTCTCTCTCGTCTGGCCAATCATGTACGCATAAGCCTCTGGAAAGGCCTCACGGCTCGCATCGACGCACAGGTAGTATACGAGTGCGAGGGGTAATGTCGGTATCACTATGTGCCGTGTTTTCCAAGGCACGCACCAAAGTCACCCGATGTTGATGATTGAATCGCGCTCTCCCTTGGGCCGCTCGGACGACCATGACTGGAATTTAGTGACAGCGACGCTCTGCAGCTGCCCAAGGCACATGACTTTACCGACCCCACACGAGCGGCTCACTTCTTCCCCGCAATCTGGGACCAAGGCATTACGTGCAGTCATTGCACGCAGGCTGCCGCCCAGCCCTAAACACTCAGCAAAAGCCCGTGGTTGGAATAGAGTTCTTGAGGCGTCTGGGCGAGGCAGGGTGGGGAACCATGGACACGGCAGATTGCTGGACGCGTACTACAACAAACCATGGCCCTGACGCTTTGAGAACGCCGCCCGTTTCGTGCATACCGTCTTCTCCATGACGGCTGGTGCTGAGTGAAAATCTTTCGACCCAAACCTAATCCACCCCACAACATCCAACGCTGTCCAGACCCTAAGCGGAGCCAACAAACGTCTGCGCCTGCGTCTGCGTCTGTGACTCGAGCCGACCAAGCGTCAGGCAGCCCGTTCGTCCGTCAACCTGTAGGTGTTCAATTTCCATGATCCCCGTGATTCGCCAAGAGGCCGCCCAGTGCGAAAGCGACGTATTCGCTGAGACTCGGCCGGGACAGGCGCTGTGACGAAGTGGCGTCACCTCTCCGCACGATCCATACGTGTTTCTCCCAATGATGATCAGAGGATTTTCGCTCTGGCGCAAGCCCTGTCCAATTCGTGGACAAGTCGCGCATTTAGCAACGTCAACTCCACATCGCCCGCCTTGACTGAATTCTCCGCCTTTTTCTGGGGTCGGTGGTCTTTTCACCGCATCGTCCCGCCTGTCCCCGTACACCGTCTCTCCTGCATCTCTCCTGCACCTCCGCGCATTCGCCACTCCTCAACACCAACACCCACTGTCAAAATTCCCCTTGACAGTAGGGCTGGCACCAGATAATGCCGTGGCCTGAACGCCAGATTCCGAGACGCCCGCGACCGCGATAAGACGCTGCTCCGCAATCCATCATCTTCGCTCCATCTATGGCATCCCTGAATTCGTTATAGCCCAGTGCACGACATGGCCGCCACCAACCTCGATGGAGATTTTCCCACGCGGGGCCCAGTTGTCATGGGCGTTTCGGCCGCAACACTAGCAATATGTTCAGTATTCGTAGGCCTTCGTCTGGTGTCCAGGTTTTTGGTGGTGAGAAAGCCGGGGTGGGATGACTATACGATGATCCTCGCATGGGTCATTGCTTTTGGCGCCTCTTTTTCCATATGCTATGGCACGACAAAAGGATTGGGACGCAAACAAGAAAATATGCCACCAGAGTGGCAGGGGCCGATGAAAAAGTCATCCTATGCCTTCTCTGTACTCTATGTACGTACTCGACATTTCACATTGAGAGTGCCAATGCTAAGATGCGGCAGAATCCCGCTCTGATGGCGACCAAGACCTCGATTCTCTTATTCTACCTGACGCTATCCAAAACCCAGAAATTGTTTCGAAGAGCTACTATCGCAACCCTTGTCGTAGTCAATGTTGGCGGACTGGCGCTAACAATTCTTAACATTCTGCAATGTCGACCCGTTGGTGCTGCATGGGCTTCTCCAGTTCCTACTACAGCACGCTGTACCAACATCGTCACAATCTACCTCTCCTCGGCGCCGCTGAACATCATCACTGACTTGGCCATCCTGTTTCTCCCGATGCCAATACTCACCAGCATGCGACTGCCTAAAAAACAGAAAATTATCCTGGTTATCACGTTCGGTTTCGGCATATTCGTAGCAGTTGTTGATGTCATCCGTATTGCATACCTTCAGCAAGCTCAGCGCAACACTCTCGAGGCCGCGCAACGGCAAACTACCGAATCAGGAAATGAGCAAAGAAACATGAGTGATTTCTCGTGGTTTTCATCTTTGTCGTTTATGTGGAGTGCTGTCGAGATCAACCTAGGCATAATGTGTGGCTGCGTTCCTGCCCTGAAGCCACTAGTCAGGAGATTTCTTCCCAGCTGGGTTATTGACCACACGATTCGCGACACAACGACACAAACCAGCGATGAACATGTCCTCCATCCCGACATACTCGATTCCCGAAGGCACTCAGATCTATTGACACCTCCTGCGTCCCCACTAAGCAAACCCGGTGGAGCTCGTAGGAGTGGTGGTGACGAGCCGATGGCTATGATGGATTTTCTTACGACTCCCGACATGACTGAGTTGCCGCAGCTCAGAACACTGAATACAAACGCCACATTCCGGACTCAACGCCAACAAGTAACGTTCTTCGACTTTGTCAATACGGGACAAAAGAAGAACATCACCTTACGAAGCAATCGAGAATCGATATATCCCGTGCTCATGGTGACTGTACTTTTTGCAGTTTGGGGGTTTGCCTATGGATTCCTGGACGTCTTGAACTCTCGGTTTCAAGAGGTTGCCCATACAAGCGATTGGCAGACGGTAGGCCAACACTCTGCCTACTATGCTGGCTATCTTGTGGGGCCTTTGACCTTTGGACGACTTGTTTTCAAGATTTGGGGATTCAAAGCCTGCTACATGGTCGGATTGTCAGTCTATGCTTGTGGGGCTCTCGTATTCTGGCCGTCCGCCGTGCTGAATTCTTTTCCAGCATTCCTGATATCCAATTTCATTGTTGGGGCTGGACTTTCGACCTTAGAACTCGGTGCAAATCCCTTCATAGCTCTTTGTGGACCACCAGAGTATGCAGAGGCACGGTTGAACTTGTCGCAAGCTGTTCAGGCAGTCGGTAGCATCATCTCTCCAATTTTGGCGAAAAAGGTGCTCTTTCCCGCAAACGCTGCGAGCTTGATTGATGTGCAATGGACGTATCTCGGCATCTCATTTTTCAACATCGCCCTTGCCGTCATCTACTTTTACGTACCACTTCCAGAAGCCACAGATGATCAACTCGAGGATGCTAGCCAGCGTACTGTGCCCCATGCACGCGAGGCTACAGTCAAGCTTGGATCTAGGTCCGTCAAGGTCCTATGGGTAAGTCTAGCTATGGCGGTATTTTCGCAGTTCTGCTATGTTGGAGGTCAGGAGTCTACCTCTACTTCATACAACGAGTATCTCAGTCGCGTCATGCCTAGCATTGATCCTGTATCCCAGCAAGCCTACGGTCACACTGCTTTTGCTGTTTCTCGATTCCTGGCTGCATTCATCGATATCTGGGTCAAGCCGCGCTACAGCTTGCTGTTCTTTTATTTGGGGGCGATTGCTTTCACAGCAGCAGCGATACACGTCTCCGGCTCCACGGGAGTAGCAATCATCGCCATGGTCATGTTCTTCGAAGGTCCAATCTTCCCCCAGATTTTCGCACAGGGCATCCGCGGCATGGGCAAGCACACCAAAGACGCCTCTGCCCTCCTCGTCTCCGCCATCAGCGGCGGCGCCGTCTTCCCACCCATCATGTTCGCCATCCTCAAGACCCAAAACCCACAACTCGCCTTCTGTGTCATTGTCGCCACCTACTCGGCCGGCGCCCTCTACCCGCTCTACCTCAATATTGTCCCTGCTGCCCGCAGGCTATCGGACCCTGTGCGCGACGAGAAAACAAGACGCGAATCCGAGGCTGAGGAAAAGCAGCGGCGCGGCTCGTCGCACGTTGAGAAGCTGAGGCGATGGAGCAAGGGTAAGAAGAAGAATAGCATTTTAAAGGAGAACCAGGAGTTGCCGTCTATAGAGCATCGTGAGCGGCGCAGTTGGCCGGAGGGTTTGGCGCCCCGGAATGATAGCTTGGCTATTGAGCCTGTGAGGACGAATACACCTACTACTACCGGTGATAGTAGTACCTTGAGTACGAGGTGAAGTATTTCCGTACTTTCTTCCTTGTCCCGTCTTTTACCTCTCTTTTCCTTTTTTTCTCTTTCTGTTCAATGTCTTGTTTATGATACCATGAAGTTTTCTTCTTCTTATCTCTTCTTTCGGTCCATGTAACAATAGTGCATTCTTGCATTTTGTGGCGTTTTTTCTCTTCTCCCCCTTCTGGTACTTGTCTTTGTACCTAGGCCGTTTTCCCTTTTTTTTTCTTACAGAGATACCATGGGAGGCATGGGCGGCTTCTCATTCCTGGGTCGGGCATGTAGGTTTACGGGCTACGGTATGGGATGGATTGGCTGATGGGTAATTCCATGGTTTATGTACTGTGGGGGAATGAATGACTGGGTCGGAGGGTTTAGTCGTCTTTTTCCATCGGTTAGACAGACGTGGTATGGGATAGTGGGTAAGGGTATGTAACCTAAGAAAAGGAAAAAACAGATTAAGAAGTGTTGATTAAGAGTGCTGTGGTATTTACCTGACGTGGTGGGTAACCGATTAATATTACCCTTGGAGAGGTGTTGTGTGTGTGTGACCAAGAGAGAATAGAGTTATGAAGATACAAATGAAATAAAAAGACTAGCTAGTCATTCGTTCTCACTTTCTTCATCAGTGAACAGAGACAGAATATACTTTCTATGCTTCATCAAGTTATGTGCTTGCTATCATTGTTTCCTATGAACAAAAAAAAGTGCTGTAGAATTACAACTTGTCTAATGCCAAAGGAAGAGAAAAGCAGTAAAAAAAAACGCCATACCATGCCTTCTCATCCAACAAGTCTATTGTTTCCTTATGCCTTTTTCCGACTATACAGTTCACAAGTTCAGTCTTACAGTAACAAAACTTCAGCTAGCTCACAGGGCCAAAACGGCCGCAAAAGCAGCAGCTACGAGGCCAAAGTACACAGGTTGCAGCTGCGCATCTGCTGCAGATGTAGTGCCACAGCACTCGCGGTTATACGTGACATTATTAGCACGAGCCGCGACTTCGAATACGGAGCCATTAGTCGAGCCCTCGTTGTAAAAGTCGACGAGTAGGAAATTCGGTGGGCGGCCCCAATCACCTAAAAAAAAAGACAGACATGTTAGTTGCTTTGATCTCATTCAATATGTTCCCAGGAAGAAACTTACTAGTGCAAGTGTTGGCCATGAGACCCAAACTACCAAATCCCTCTACCCCGTTCGTCTGATTGATCTGCGCTACATTTGGTACGAGGAGATTGAAGCCGGCGAAAGAAATCTCGGCGTTCAGGTTATGATTCGCCATGTACAGGATGTCTCTCATTTTGTTCTCGGACATGCCTTCGGGTCTGCCGAGATTGCAAGGGAAGTTTTGGTCCGTGGGGGAAAAGGTGGTCTCCCACATGTTGTAGAATTCCCAGAGGAGATAGGGGACGGCGTCGGTGTCGTAGTTGTAGTCGATGAAGGTGATGACGCGGTCGTTTTGGAGGATGAGCTCGCCGAGCGTGGGCCAGTCGTTGAGTTCCATAGCGGTCTTGGGCGGCTGGTAGATGTACTTGCGGAGGCCAGAGGCCTCGATTGGTTCGGCAAAGTTTTTGGCGGTGACAAGGGGTTTGCCGTCTGCGGTTGTCTTATCCCAGTCTGAGTTTCCGAAGAGGATGGTGACTACGTCGAAGGGGTGGTCCTCTACCCATTCGGTGACTTGGCGGAGGTAGTCCTCGACAGTGCCGGCGTTGAGCAAGTCGCACGAGGAATGGCAGTAGTAGAGAGTACCGTTGACATAGTGAGCCGATCCCTGAAGCATACGAATACCATCGTCAAGCTGTTGCTTTACAGAGTATTCTTGGTTGCGAGCAATGTTGTTCTTGCGCGTGTAGGGTGAGTTGTGGGCACAGACTTCGGTGATGTTGGAGTACTTGCGGTCGCAGAACTCGAGGTAGTTGTTGCATGGCTGTGTGTTAGACGGCAAGGCGGGTGCCGTGCCGGTACCTGTTGGCGTGATGGTCCTGTTTCCTTGTCCGATGTTGGTGACAGGTTCACCCGAGGTTATCGTGCCGTTGGACGACACTGTGGCGCCCGATGAAGCTGAGGAAGCAGGTGACGTAATTGTCGCAAAAGTACTGCCCTCGAAATCGGAGGGCACAGTTGGGTTGGGGGCAGCATCGTCACCTGTGAGACTTCGTTGGGATCCAGATAGTGTGATAACCGACACGGATGAGCTACTTTGGCCTGCAGCAAGACCCGCAAGCCACACCAGCGAAAGAAGGGCTCCTTTCATGATCGTCACAGGGGTTGGACACTCTCCAACTTTGTTTCGGCGACGCTTTCAAGAAACAAGAGTACGCAGCTCAGTAAAGGCGGTATGGGCAACGGTCCAGTTGTGTAGAGAAAAAAAGATGAAGAACGAGGAACTGGCGAATGAATCAGGTGGATGTACGGCACCGTTTCAGCGGTTTTTTTCAGGGTGAAGAGCCCGGTCGTCTATATTAGGGTTCCACGCAGCCCCGGGCGGGAGAAAAGGATTCAGGCTCAACAACGAATGGATTATCAAGATATGATAAACACTGGGCGAGGAATAGAAGCAATGCAAGTGAAGGGGGCCCTGGGGGCAGATGAGGCGATGGGCTGCAGCGATTGTTTTCCAAGCGCGTGAACGGGCCATCGGCAAGACGCTGGGCGTGACGTCGTCATGCAATTCGAGACCTGGCGGGCCTTTTTCCACTCAACGATCTGCAGTAGGCGCGCAAAGGGTCTCCTTACGACACGTCATGTATAGCCAGCGCCTGAAACGCTGGGCCTTCACCAGAGCGTCTAGGTAGGGCTAGCTTGTGAGAACACGGCCTATTGAACTTCGATACGCATAGTGCAAAAAATACAATAAAGCTTGGCTACATCAATTTCTATGTTTTCCTCCCTTGCGACGGCTCACCAGGTCGAATCGTTACTAGTGGTACTATGCATGTCATGACATGTGGCTGTGGCTGTGTCGCACTCGGGGTAATGTGGCTAGCGTGGCTGAGTTGCGGTCAACATCTCCACCTTCAACCCTCAACAGGACATATGCACACGTAACACACATCAATACAATTCAATTCGCTATTCATAAGGTCTCAGTTATTCATTCTCACGCCCCAGCTCCTCCACTGCGGAAAAACTCCTCAAACCTACTCTTGCCTCGTAGCGCCTGAATCTCCCTCTGTAGCACATCGATTCTGTAATTCTTGAATGCCTTTTCGATCCTCCCCCTACTCTCTGGATCCTTTGTAATAACCCTTGATGCGCTCGCTGTTCCTGTCAGCAGCCCTAGCTCACCCCCAAGAAACAACCCGGCAACCGAGAAGAAGAAGTAAGCCGCTGCATCGCCCCAGCGCGACGGGCCGCTGATTTGTGCCGTGATGTCGGGAACCTTCTCGGTGCGCCCGTCGGCGAAACGCACTTCTACAGGCTTTTCCATGGCACGGAACGCTTTGAAGTAAGCCAGCCGCATTGCCCGTAGACGGAATGCCGTGTAAATGCCAAGACCAAGGCCTAATGCTGACCCGATGGTTGTGTTTCTTGTTACCTTTCCCGCCGCACTTTTAAGTATGTCGCGATCTTGCTGTTGGAGACTGTCCCGAGTTAGTTTGGTCCTCTTCTCCAAGAAACCAGCAGTCTTTCTGACTTACTCATGCTGCAAGTGCTCCTCAGCCAATTTCTGCAGGTCTTTGGACTGGCGGTCACGGAATGCTGCTAGTGATTCGGCCATGGTGTTTGTGTGTAGTTATGGATGCACCTTTTCTTCGTAGTTGATTGACTGATCGACAGATTTTGGGGACACTCAGATGAAAGCTGTCATATGTGTTATCGAACAGTGACCACATTTGTACGTCGTATTTTATAATGGTCGAAAAGTTCAAGATGCTTCTAGTTCGCAACCATGACATCATGCGGAATCGACGGAACCGAACCACACCATCACCGAGCTTGCTCGCCCGAGCATATGGAACCCGCTGTCATGCTCTTTACGAAGTGGGGTACATGGTTCAGAACAAAATCAATTGGCTTCAGCCCCAGATGCTAAACCTATGTAGTGTATGCTATGGTCTGATTCAAACAATAATTCCACCATGAGTGTCACATTCCCATCAAACGCCATAACCATTCAGAGCCTGTCAACGCCGCGATACATGCTAAGCTGCCAACAGTCGAAATATGACTGAGCGCATTCCCACCCCAAAAAACCACAAGACAGAAACCAATATGTCCTACAGCTTGGCTTGAGCCTCAGGCTCGGCTGCGCTAGCCTCTTGATTTCGAGTCACGTTACCCGTGCCGGTGCCTTCGCCAAAGAAGATGACTTCTACAGTCAGGTCGTCCCTGTATCGTCGAGAGAAGGGGCTTGGAAGTGTGAGCAGAGCGCTCAGCTGGTCTTGGTCCTTTCCTCCAAGTGCGTTTCGCACAAGATGGGTCGCGGCATTCTTGTCCTCAACTACGAAGCGCTCGTTCAAGCTGGTCTTGGTACCCCACTGTTGTTGGCGGATGGGCGCACGCTGGCCTTCTGCCGTGTCTCCTGCTTTTTGTTCAACCGGCAGCTGTTTCTGGGTAGACCACCAGCTCTTTAGCCATGATTGAGTCTGAGTACCTTGGCCCCCCGAATTGCTCTGCGCGTCGAGCCACTGGCCAACTAAACCAACTACTTCTTCATTGGTAAGCATTTCCCATAATCCATCTGTAGCCATGACGACAAAGTCACCCTTTTCAGGCTCAATCTTGGTGGTAGTGATGATGGGTTCGGCCGTAACATAAGGTGGAGTCTTGAGTAGCGCTGATGGCGTTCGTGCAAAATAGGACTTTTTCAGTTCGGCATTCGTCTCGAGCGACCATTTGTAGTAGGCATCCCCAAAGGCGCGAGAGGGCTCCAATCCACCTAGAATACGGCCATTACGGACTACATTGGGCTCGCCGGGGTGTTCTCGGCGTAATCGCTCTGCTTCGCTTGTCGTTCCACCAGTCTGATCCTCTGATAGAGGAGTTGCTGTCCATTTGCCATTTTCGCCTCGTCGGCCAAGAATAGCACGAGAGTCGCCTGTGCAGGCAACCCTCAAAAGCTTCGACCGGCTGTCATAGAAGGACAGGAGAGCACATGAACCGGATAGTGCAGGGGCAAGTAGCTCGGCAGCGGCGACTTTAGACTGGGCCTTGCGTACTTTCTTGACAGACTCGTGAACGATTTCGTTGTCTAGCTTGGTGAAGCCAGTTTTGATTGCTTTGTCGATTGCTTCA